GCTTGAGGCCTTCCTTCTACCAATCCTGAAGGCTGTAAAGGTGGGGTTTGCTAAGGCCTAGGGAATATGGCTGGTCTTGCAGGACAAACCATTCACTCTCAGCAGCCCTGCCTGCCAAGCCACAGCCTTTTGACCCCCTACCTTCTCTACCCTCTCACCCCAATATTCAAAGGAGGCTTTTCCTCTCAGTGCTTTGTCCTCTATGGAGACCTGTTACTTAGCAACCACTAGTGCTTTCCTAATAACTTCCAGGGACTCAGAGATATAATATCTGTCTCTATATTCAGTTCCCCTCCCCTGTCTACTTATATTTAATAACTGAAGCCCTGTCTTGGGTTCCCTTGGCACCTGTTTTAGAGCACTTTTAGAGGGATTAAGCTGCAGCCTGAAGAAATAAAGCTATACCTGAAGAACTTCCAAACATGGAAGAGTGGGGAGAAAAGACGAGTAGGTAGAGGAGCTGTGGAAACATATTCTGTTAAGTATAGGTAGAGAGGAAAAAAAAAGTATTTAGAACTTGGAATGTGGAGAGAGGACGTCCACCAGGATTCCCAAGGGTTCATTCCGAGACCAGGAGTGGACCCTACCAGCTGCTTCCTGGGCTGGCATTATTCATTTCCCACACCCTGTCCAGCCCATCCTTTCTGCCAACTTTTAGTCTACAGCCCTTTCATATTTCTGTATATGGGAGGCCCAACCCTCTGGGGATGTCCAGTTTCATAGTGTCTGGATATTGGTATCCAGTAGCGGGGCTGTGTCCATATATGTCCAACAAGGCCTGGGTATCTCCCAAAGCTTTTCAGTCATGGGGGAGGAGTTATTCTGAGCTCTCTCTTAGAAAGTCCCAGACCTAATCTGGCAGTGGGGACTGTACAATATCACCAAAATGAGGAACAAGGAATGCCTAAGTGTAGTCTGCTGTCTGCATGTAGAATCAGGAGACCTAGGTCTGGGCCTCTCTCCTTATTCTCCTGTGATCCAAGTTATTCACTTAATCTTTTAAACCCCTTGTTGCTTCATCTGTAGATCAAGAATAATATTTACCTCTTTGGACTTTAGAATGATCAGAAAAAGTAATATGTGAAAGGAAACACTCTGAAACTATCAAATTTAATGAAAATATTATTTTAAGGTCTGGAAAAGTTCTGACTGCCGGGGAGAGGGAGGCATCATGAATCCAGCCCAGTCCTGGGCTTAGGAACACCATTAGGTTTTTGGCCAGAGGGATATGATTCTTTGCCCTCTGGTTGGGGTGGGGAGCTCTAAATCAAAATCAAACACAAAGCTATCTAGGGAGAGTAGCATGCAGTGTCCCTGTCATCTTCCTCACCTCTGGTCCCAACCTCTGAGCTCTAGTCCTCAGTGGCTAAGACAAAAAAGCCTTACTGACACCCCACACTGACCCTCCACCCCTTCTGGGTCAGCGCCTTCACTGTGGTTGTGCCTGCTCACAGACTGTACATGTTCACCCTCCATACCCCCCTTCTCGGCACCTCCTCCAACCCAAGCCTTCTGTGGGAGACAGATGGGGTGTCTGCGATGGAAAAGGCTCTGGGCTCTATGCCGCTTTGGGTGGGCAGCCCCCCCTCCCCATCTCTCCACTATTCCCCCTCTCCCTACCTAAGACACTCAGATTCACCTCAGGCAGCTTTGGGAGCTGCTGAGGATACCAGCTCTCTTTCCTTCTCAGACTCAGCCGAGAAGCAGAGCCAGAATGGTCTCTTTGTTCGAGACCTAGACCCCAGCCCCTCTTCACAGAAGACCAGTACAAAGGAGGAAGTCAGGTAGGGAATGGTAGAGATCCATGTGAAGGGACCATTGTGGAGAGGCATGGAGAGGCCCAGAGTCCCTCTCTGAGGACTGGATGACTGGGCTTTGGGGCCTGAGTTGGTAGAGAAGGCTGAGCCTAGGCAGCTCCTTTGTTCCAGAAATCTGGGGTCCCTGGGGGGATGCTCAGCTTGGGGAAGAAGAAAAAGGGAGCTAACATTACAGAGCACCAACTGTGAGCCAGGCACGATGCCAGAGCCTTTCCATACCTGTAGTCACAACCAGCAGGTGAGGAGTCAGGACGAATAGGTGTCTCATGAGCTCTCAGCATCTCTCGACACAGTTGACCACCTCCTCCTTTGATTCTATATCACTGCCAATTCTCCTACCACTCTGGCTGCTCTTTCTCTGTCTCCTTTGCAAGCTCATCCTCAACTTTTTAGACTCAGCCAAGTCCCCCGATTATATACTTTCATGATATTATATATCCTTTCAGAGCACTTAGCACAGTTGTTTCACAATTATTTGTACAGTCATTTGAATAACGATCCTATTTTTCCCACCAGATGGAAAGTTCCACGAGGAAAATGACCACGTCTGTCTGTGTTCACCAGTGTGCTCCCAGTGCCCAGCACTGTGCCTTGCATAAAGCAGCTGTTGGGTAAATATTTGTGGAATGAATGAATAAATGACAAAATGATATCTCTCCGGCCTAAACTCAGCTTCTTAGCTACTTCCTCACCCCAGAGCTGATTTATCCCCAATGTGTGTACTAGGGAACAGGGTGCCTGAGAGGTCAAGCCATTTCATTCTTCCTGGAAAAAGCCATCAGGGCAGGACTAGCCCAAGCTCCAGGATATGGGGCCTCTGCCCTGCCAGAGCCTGGCCCTGCCTATCTGCTCTCCTGTTCCTCCAGGAATTGAGAGAATTCAAAGTCCCAACAACTTCTCTCAATATTGGGGTCTGAAATCATGTATGAGCTTGAAGGGAAGAGTTCCTTTAGAGGAGGGTGTCCCTGTTTTCTGCCTTAGCTGAGACTGTGGACACCATCTGCTGCCACCCCTCTGTTTGCTCTGTCCTCTTCCCCTGGACAAGGGAAGGGGATGGTTTGGCTAAATGGGAGGGATAGATGGTAAGAACAGGACAGGCTGCTTGTTTGATAAGGCTGGTGGTGAGCCTCAGCCAGGTGACTGGAGCAGAGGAACACAGGCACCAGCAGCCTCAGGTCCTTTGGGGCTGTACACTATAGACCTGGGGAAGAAGGGAGTGGACAAAATAACTTCTGAGAGGTGGCCAGCCTTCAGCCCAGGGCGTCATCCGATTTGCTGCCCTTGCCTTCTGACCTCAAACAATATTCCTGAGTCTGCAGGAAGTTAAAGTTAGGCCAGGCCCAGCAGCCCCTTGCCTTCCCTGACCATTCCCTCTTCTAGCCAATCACACAGCCCAGAGAATCTCTCCCACCCAGGTCAGCACCAATACCCAGTCCTCACTGTGACCTCTCACCTAGTCCCCTTATCCTGACAATGTCCCTCAGCACCTGGGTACCTGGGATCATGGATCTGGAATCCACTCTAGGCAGTGTTGCTCTCTCTGACCCTACCTGTTCTCTGGCCCCCAATGAAATAGGACAACTCAGGATGTGGGCCAAGTTCTTGTGTCCTCGTCAAAGGCAACATCTGTCTCTTCCAAGAAGATAACCCTGGAGTGGGGGTGGGGAGGCAAGGAATGAGAAACAGGCACAGGGAGAAACCCCAATTCTGCCTAGGCCCTAACCCCAGATTCCACTGTAAGCAAAGATTGAGGGTGAGGGCCAAGATAGCCACAGAGGCCTACACTCACATGCCCCTGCATGGGTCTTCATGCCTCTGAGCCGCTGAATTTGTAGGCCCCTCCTGGGCTCACCCAGGTACCTGGGTTGCTGCTGCTGCCAAGCCAGCCTTCTTTTATTCATGCGTTGTTTTATTGCTGGCAAATGCTGCTGCTTGCCGCTGTTGGAGGCGTTCCTGCCAAATCCATCCCAACATCTTGGCCTGGCATCAGGGCGGCATGCTAATGTGGAAATTTAAAGAGCCGCTCGGCTTTAAATCGGAATTTTAAATGAGCAGCAGTGCTCCAGAGGGACCTGGGCAAAATCGAACAGTATCTGATCCACCCTTCATACTCCCACTCCCATAGCATCACCCCACTTCCTCCCACCTCTCCCCTCATCACGAGATGATGGAGTGGCACGGGACACGCTAGGGGAAGAGGGAGCTACCAGGGCAGAAGAACTGGTGCAAGATGGAGTCATCTAGGTCAGTAAAGAACTGGGATCCCTCTACTCAGGACCAAGAAGGGATCTACTGCTTGCTGTCATAGGAAAATGGAGGCAGGGGTTCTACACAAGGGATCAGGGCTGGGGATAGTGAAACTGATGTGCCTATCCCCACTTCCCATTTTACCAGGAAACAGGAAAAGAAGGTTCAGAGCAGAAGAGAGGGAAGGTGGAATTCCATGAAGATACTCACGTGCAACATACAGTCGTGCAGACTGGGATATGTGCATGCAGGTCAGGATGCTTGCTGAGGCCCCTTGTAGCACATGTACACGCAGCTCACACATCACCTATGCATGAAGTAGAATTATTCACATATGCAGGGAAGTCTTTCTTCCCAAATCTAGGCCCCTGTCCTAACCAGAGCAAGCTGTTTTTTTTTAAGTTGCTAGCTTGAGCTGTGCCTCAGGTTTTTTCATGAATCCTAATGCACCAACATTCTCCAGCTCCTTGAGTCAGCTGTGGTGGTGACAGAGCCCCACAACAACTCTGGGGGCACCTAAGCTCATCCATGTACCTGTCTTAGCTGCAATGTGATGCCTTCTCTGGTGACCATCAGATGACAGGCTCAGACCTCTCACCTGGGAGAGGTGCTGGGCATAGCCTTGGTTTCAGAGGGAAGAGGGGCTAGTTGGAGGTGAGAAAGGCAGAAACTGTGCCTCTCTGTGACCCCCTTTCCTCCCTGTCTCCAGGAAACAGGTGGCCCCCTCATTATCAGGAAACATTTATTGAGTGCCTACCCTCAAGGAAACACTGTGCTTAGTTTAGCACAGTGCCTCACAATTTTCTGGGCTGGGTTAATGACAGCCCCAAGAATCTGGATGTGCTGTCCTCATTGGAGGAACCATAGTAACTTGGCGTGGTAACCTCAACCTACCCCATGTTAGGCTGCCAACCCAAAGAATGCTCCTTGACCTTCCCCAGGATTCCTCCTCCCTCAAAGAAGGAGCCAGCTCCTCCATTGGCTGATATGGCTGCCAGCCAAGAGGCTTAGGGCAGGCCTGGGGCATGCAGCTGGCACCTGCCCACCAGATCCCAAAGGAGCACCCTCCTCCCCCACTCCATAGCCCCATTCTGATGGCCCCTAGGCTGCAGGAAGACAAGAGCTCACTGCCCCCAATTCCCAGAGAAAACCTTGAGCTAGAAAGCCCATCATCTTCCTTTCCACTATAACCTGCTCTGAAATCCTCCACCCAGACTAGGTATACTAAAAACCCACCAGATACTTTTTCCAGGCAAGATCAAACACTGAATATAGTAGGGGTTGGACTACAGCTAGGTAAAGCCTGAGGAGTGAGGCCTGGGCTAGAATTGTGGGAGAAGTTGCTGAGGTCAAGATGGATGAGGAAGAACTCAATGGGAGTGACATAGGATGGCAGGGGCTGGGGGATAGGGTTGGCATAAAGGGAAGAGGCTAAGTAAATCTGCATCTTTCATCTAATTAGCAATATACAAATAATATGCAAGTCACCCCCTTTTTATTTAGAGACCACAGGGCCTGTGCTTTTTGGAAGAAGGCTGCAGAGGGACCACTAGGCAGTATCTCTGAGACCCTAAGACATGGGACACTCAGGTTCAAGAGAGGCCAGAGTGTAGCCATCTGGTTCTAGCTTATTTCATGGATGGACTCATTCCCTATGGGCCTCAATTTCCCAATGTGTGAGATGGCAGGACTGGACTAGATGGTCTCTAAGGCTTCTGTTCAATACTGACAGTAGGGTTCTCTGATCTGGGGCCCAGTGCCAGCACAGGGTAGAGGGAATGATTCCTTTCTGGGGTGGCTACTTGGCTCTCTTGCCCCTGCTGCCCATTTCAGCAGTTCCTTTTAGGAAATAATTGGAATAGCAGGTACATGAGGATGTGGGGGGGTATCATGTTCTCTCCTACTCCATGCCTTTACCCACACTGTTTCTTCTGCTTGGAATGCCCTTCCTGCTTTAGTCTCTTACCTGGCTAACTCCTTCTCTAACTCCAGCAACCTTACCTACCTTACCCTTCCACCTTCTGGGCATCCCTATGCACTGTTAACTTCTCTCATTTCCCACTGGACTGTGAACTCTAAAGTGCAGGTAATAGGTTTTGTCCAAGATGGAATCTCCAATGTAAGTGTATTAGTTTCTCAAGGCTACTGTAACAAATTACCACAATCTTGGTGGCTTAAAACAATAAATTTATTCTCTCACATTTCTGGAGGCCAGTAGTTCAACATCAGTTTCACTGGGCCAGAATCAAGGTGTCCACAGGACTGCTCTGTCTGGATGCTCTAAGGGAAAATCTGTTCTTTCAGCTCCTTGTGGCTGCTGGCATTCCTTTGCTTGTGGCCACATCACTCCAGTTTCTGCCTCCGTCTTCACATTGCCTGCTACTCTTCTGTGGTGTGTATAATCTCCCTCTGCTTCTCTCTTATAAGGATACTTATGGCATTTAGAGCCAGGCCATATGATCCAGGCAAGATAATCTCCCTATCTCAAGATTCTTAATTTAATCACATCTGCAAAGACCCTTTTTCCAGATAAAGTAACTTACAGGTTTCAGGGAATAGGATGTGGACTTATCTTTGAGAGCCATTATCAGACTACCAAAATAAACAAAGACATCTTTATATTTGTTAAGCATCTACCATGTGCCAGACACCATACATACATTTTTCTCACTGCATTTAAGTCTCGCAATAACCCTGAAAGGTAGATAATAATGTCTCTACAGATGAGGAAACTGAATGAGGTTCAGGGAGATTGAGTCACCTGCTCAAGCTAACATAGCCGATAAGTGACAGAGCCAGGATTTGAAACCACATAGGCTTGGCTCCAAAGCCAGCATGATTTTTGCCTCACTAATAGCCTCCAAGCCTATCCCAGGCCCTGGCACAAATTTCTCATCTGAATAGGTGTGCAGAAAAGAAAGACAGGTGGACAAGAGAAGGAAAGATGAGGCCCAGCCTCCTAATGATATTGACTCAAGATTTCTTTTGCCAAAGCCCCCTTACCATCCCTCTAATCCTCCCTCAACACCCCTCACCCCTTATTTCAGAAGCCTGGAATCTCCCCCAGTTTGCAGCCCCCTGCCAACTGCTGCTGCCCAGAAGAGTGGCACAGCGCCTAGACTTCAGGCAGGAAATATCAAATCACAGAACCAGAGGGACCTTTGAGGTCACCTCTTCAAGCCCTCTGCCCACATATAGGCATATTCCTGAGGACAGGGCAGACAGGGTCAGAGTAGTGGGAGCAGAAGGGAAAAGTAGCCATCTCTTCCTTCAGTTGCCCTTTCTCCTCACTTCTTACACAATTTGTACTGGGAAGTCTCCTCACTGAGGTTTAATTTTCCAGGCATCATGCTGTAATGAAAGCTGGCATGAGTCAGAAGTCTTGTGATCCAGCCCTAAATTGTCCAAAACGTAAAACGAGATTTTGGTTAAGTACCTTCACCTTGCTGGGCCTCTAATTCTTCATCTTTAAAATGGGATCAATAACGATGATAATGATAATATACCCATCTCACAGGACTGTTGGGATAATAACAGTCCAAGAAAGAAGCGTCAAACCCACGCCCTGGAGCAAGGCAGGTGCTGCAGGAATATTTTTTAAGTCCCTCAGCCCTACAGCCGAAGCCTCTTTATCCTGGGTTACTCAGGGCTTTGCTCACCTCAGCCAGTCTGGTCTGCCTTGCGCGCTAGACTGTGAACTTCTCTTGGCAGGACCTTGTTCATTTTTTTTAATCACCACTCCCTCGCCCCCGTTTCCCTCCCTATTGTCTAGCCCGTGCTCGCGCACTTAGGCTCGATCTATATTTGATAAATAAACAAGTGAGGGTATGAGTCGGACCCCCAAGTCCCGAGATGCGCAGATCTTGACTCCCACCATTAACCCTCTGGGCATAACCCTTTCCCCAGGGGTCCAGGAGGCGGCGGCGAAGCGAGGAAAGGAGGCGCTGCAGCTTTAAGATTCCTCTCGGGCGTCCCGGTTGCCAAGGCGCAGTTGCCAGGGGCCTGCGCGGAGCTGCGTCCGGCCTCTGCGCCCCGGCTCCCTGCTGCCGCCGCCGCCACTGCCGCCGCCGCCGCCGCCGCCGGGCCGCGCCGGGCTTGGCTCCCCCGAACCGTCTGGCGGACTTGGCACCGGCCCCGACTCCTCAGTGCCCCCGCGGTGCGTGGCAGGCTGCGGCTTCATTATCCTGATTGATTCCTCCTGCTCCCCGACACCGTGGGGGCCCCGGCCAAGGAAGGGGGGTGGAGGAGGCATCTGCGGGCCCTTTCCCGGGCCCTCGCCCCCAGCCGCTCCTCAGGCTACGGACTCCTCGGTACCCTGCTGCAGCCAGCCGAGCAGGATGAGGAGAGCTAGCCCGGCCTTTGCCCCCCTGGTGGGCGGAGAGGGCACCAAGAAGCGGAGCTGTGTGGGGCCTGGTGCTCCTGACCAAGGTGCCAGCCCTGGGCCAGAGATGCTGCTGTTTGTGTCAGGGGCCTGCCCTCGGCAAAGGTTTTGTGCCTCCCCAGGAGGATATTGAGGGTTTGGGGTGGAGAGGGAGCAGTGATGGACTGAGAACTTTGGGAAAATAAGCTTTGGCCTAATGGGAAAGTGACATCTTCCAGGAGCACTGATCATGTGGGCCAAGGCCCAGTGACACATGTCTTATCACATGCCCCTTTAAGTACAGTTGTCAGGAGAAGCAGGGACAGGGTCTGCCCAAACAAAATGACACAGAAAGGATCTGAGCTTAAAGGAAGCCCAGGGGCTTCTGTGAGTTAGAGAACCTGTCCCCAAATATAGCAGGGGGCGGTCAGGCTAGAAAATCATGGTCCCTCAGGAAACCAAGTGCTGAGGTGAGGCCTCAGTGGAAAGACCATCTGAGGGCCAGGCCTGGGATTGGAAGGTCTTCCTAGTTCTGCCACTTGGTTTGTGACCCGGGCAAGTCACTTTACCTTTCTTAGCTTTGGTTTATTCATCTGTAAAATGGGGTTAAGACCTCCCTGACAGTTGTCAGTGGCTAAATGGGACACTATGTTGATGGCAGGCCTCTACCTAAGTTATCTGGCAAGAAGGAGAAAGGCGAGAGGCAGACTTCCATCCCTACTACTCCTGTGTTGGGTAGAGCCCTTCTCTCTCCTTGAAGGCAGTAAGCCTCCTCCATATGGCTAAATCCCTTTAACTGGAAGCTGACCCGTAACCTTCTTGCCAGAGCTGCTGCTTTTTCAGGGTAGAGGGGCAAAACTGCTCTCCATCTCATTGGCATGGCATAGATTTAATTTCTAAATTCACATCAGGCTCTCCACCACTCCTATCCCTCTCTCTCTGTGGGGCCTCTCTTTCTACAAGTCCTGACAGTCTCCCTCTAGTGCCTCAGCCCTGTCCTGCTCAAGAGCCAGACCTGTGAAATTTCTTATATAGGCTGGGCCCTTTTGGCTAACTCCAACCTTTAGCTCCCCTCAGCCCTGGGGAAAGGGAGCTGGTGGAGAATTTGAGGCCAGTTTTTCCAGACCTGTGGCAGTTGTGTTTGTTACCATGTTCTGGGCTACTCAGGCAATTCAAGGTCTATCTCTGGGTCTGTTTCCTCATCTGTGAATTCATTAATTTATTCTTTCAACCCGCATTTCCTAGATGACCACACTGGGGCAGCATGGTGCACCCAGCAGGTGGGAGTGTGGGAATAACACAGAGTGGGTGGGAAGAACTGCACTCTGAAGTAGCTGATCTTCTGGGGTGGAAAACAGACACACATGTCAGCCTCCCCAACACAAGGGTATTCGCTTCAGGAGGACCTCCCAAATTCTACCATATTCCACAATGTTATGATGCTTTCTCCCTCTTTTCTGAACACAGCAGACCCTTGCTCTGGACTCTTCAGCCAGAGGCTAATTGCTTTCCTAGGGGAAAAGACAGTTCCTGAAATTTGAATCTGGAGCTTTTGTTCATTCCATTTTGTTAGAATTATCTATTTCTCTAGTAGTCATACATTACTTTTATATTCAAGGTAAAAACACTGAAAACATTCTCAGTTTGGGAAAAGATGCCACGGAGGAATTTTTTCCCCTGGTAACTAAAGGCAGGTCAGCACATGTATCTAGGTATGTCATGCTGCGTAGGACCCTCAATCGATGTGACCCTGTGAGTGCCTTCCTCAGTCTACCCACTGGCCTGGCTGCACACTCATCCCTGGCCAGCCTGCTCCATCCTCAGCACCTGTAGGCCTGGGCGCCACTTCCTATTAATACAAACCACGTGGGATTCTTGCTGTGGAGTCTCTAGGCAGAAGAGGGAGCCACAGCCGCCTAGTGGCTGCCAGGGAGGCTGGCAGGAAGGGGCATCTCCACCAGGCGTCTCCTGGGAAACGGCGAGCTCCCCAGAGAAAGGACATTTGGAAATAAAATTCCTGCCACTGTGTGTTTGTATGTGTGTTGGGGTGGGAGAGAGAGTTAAGAAACCTCCCCAGCCCCCTCTGCTCTTCTCTCTTCAAGGAAAGCCTCTCCCAGCAGTTTTCCTCACTTGCAAAATTCCAGTCTCTCTCCCCGCAAACAGTTTAGGCTCTGCTGGGACTGGACAGACGACCTGGAAAGTGTCCCTTCAGATTCATGATACGGGTGGAGTAGAGCACTGGACTGAGAGCCAGAGGCTCATATCCTTGGCTATCTTGCCTCACCCTGGTCAATATACCCACTTTCTGAGTCCTGGGTTTCTCCTCTGTAAAATGAGGGTACTGGCTGAGATTTCCCCATCATTCTTAGTCGCAAGTTGGGGCTCCTCCACAAGGCCCCAAAATACAGTCAGGGCATTTTAGGCCATTTCGTGCACTTGGAGCAGATACTTGATAGAAGCTAATGATTCCTTGTGCAACCTTGAATGGTCACTTAAACCAACCTTGGCCCTTCACTCATATATTCACCCAGGTATTTGTGGGTGCTTATTGAGAGTGAAATGTACACTGAGACGGTCCAGAGATGGCCCAGCTTTCCATGAAAGAAGCATCTCGGCCTCCTCATGCTATCTTGTGCCAGAGGCTAACTGCATGTTACATTCTTTCCCTGATGATCCGCTTCACATGAAGCTGGAAAGCTCTGGAATCTTCTCTTCCCATAGTGCCCAAAGCCAACCTAAAGGAGAAGCTATTGTGCCTCCTGGGGAATAGAAATGGGGGGTCCCTGTCCCTCCCCTCTCTCACACCTACCTGGTTCCTTTTGCCCTCCCTTGCTCTTGAGGGACCAACCCCCCCACCCCCAGTCCAATCCACCTTTCCCCTGTAAAATATGGGATGCATGAGTGAAAAGTGGATCTCTCCCAGCTGGAGTTTTCCTCCTTCTGAACCCACCTCCTAGAGAGCCCCTTCCTCAAGAGACTCTACCTCCGGGCAGCCTGGGGGTTTCTGAGAGAGCTCTCCATGCAGGAGACAACCCCCACAACTTTTGGAGGAAGTAGAGGAATTCCAGGAAGGAAGAGGGCCTGGGTTTCTGCAAAAGCCCAGGAGACCCAAGCCTCCTTCAGGTGTCCTTTTAGGAGACATTGACCGGCCCTCATAGCCTGATCTAACCTCAGCTGTAGGTCTGCTCTAGGGGGTGGGTGTGGGGCAAGGGAACTGGAGGTGGGAGAGTAGAAGATGAAGGGGGAAACACGGGGGGTG